CCTCAAGGGTCTGGTGTGTGTAGGAGTACACGGTGGTAGTAACGGTTGCTGAGGCAAGGTGTTGTGTGTTGTGTAATCGCTGTGTTCGGAATGAACCGGGGTTCAGCGTCACGACAGGATCAGTTGATCAGGAAAAAGGTTCTGCTGGGGCAGCAGTTTACACTACCAACCATGAAGCTTACTGGAGCATGAATAGTGGGTTCTCAACATTGCAAACAGAATTATATGCCCTGAAGGAGGCAATAAACTATACAATTGAAAATAATTAACATGATGTCATCTTTCATACAGACTCTAAATCTTCACTCCAGGCATTGTTATCCAGTCATCACAGAGATAATATACAACTCCTCACAGAAATTCAACATATAGGAAAAGATGCTCATAATCGAGGGCTGTCAATCACACTAAATTGGATACCAAGTCACATTGGCACAGATGGTAATGAAAAGGCAGACTCACTAGCAAAAACTGCCACTGCTCTACCTGTTGTACAGGTTCAAATACCTCCAAGTTTCTCAAACATAGAGGAGCAAATCAAGAAGAAAATATTCTCAACTATCAAAAGTCGCCACAGAGCCAAAGTAGCGGAAGGAAGATCCACTGCGATATCCCGTAGGGAATCAATCTCTGCTCTCAGAGCTCCAACTAGGTTCATCAGTTCCTTCACCACACCTTCCATTATTGCGATGATAATGTTACTACCTGAACATTGATAACATAACTGAAATGATAATATAACTGAATAGAATATCGTAATATATGATAATATAACTGAAAAAACCTTTAGGATTTGCCTTTGCTTGACCTGCTATACGAACTTCATAGTTTCTTTTTGCTCTTCTTATCTCTTTTTTAACATTTCTAACCAGTTGTGCGAATTCCTGTTCTAAACTGACTTCCCCATTCTTAATCATTTTGTACCTAGTTCTCTTTTTACCTATAAAGTTTTTCAGATCCTTTGTTATCCATTTCGGGTCATTTGTATTTGATCTATTCAATTTGTAAGGTATACCACTTTCTTGTGTTATGCTTAGAATATTTGTAAATAAGTTACATTTTGAATCCAAATCGAAATCCTCCATTACATCACACTTTGCTGGGTTCACGTCTTGCTCCAAGACCAGCCCACCCCCTATGCCCAACACTTTCCAATCAATTTAAGAACATAGGATGGAAAGGCTGGAAAGATATTGCAAATCAAATGCAGTATCTTTCATAGACAACTGGGAACACTTCTATGGAAGAAATGAAATGTATGCTCGCGATGGGGTGCATCTATCGAGGGCTTGGGTTGTTGTTGTTGAGAATTCGTTGAAACCAGTGGTTAAAGACATTTGTTTGGGTTTAAACTGTTAGTAGATAGTGGTATGGGAATTGATTTGGAGGAAGGAGGTAATAAAAGTATGTGTTTGTGGGAGAAAAGAATTGGCAAAATGATCAGGGAAAGAGAAGGGCCTCAAAATAACAATTCACTTAGGGTATATTACACTAACACAAGAAGTCTAAGAAATAAAATAAACGATTTAAATGTTCTTGTCAGAACAAAAAAATAATATTATTGCACTTACCGAAACGTGGATGAATGGAGAAAATAGAGAACTATTAGCTGAATATCAAATAAATGGATTTAAACTATTTCACACAGATAGATATATTAGACGAGGAGGTGGAGTAGCCATATATGTTAGGGACAATTTGAAATGTAGCCCCAAAGAGGGAATCAAAACTGAGCCACACACAGAAACTATTTGGATAGAATTAAACAAAAAAAACTAATAATATTATAATAGGAGTTATATATAGGCCACCAAATTTAGACTGAATGGAAGCAAAGCATCTATGGGATGAAATATCTAGAGCATCTAGATCTAACAGTATTTATGTCATGGGTGACTTTAATTTTAGTGGAATAAACTGGTTGAACAAAACAGGGAATAATGAAGCAGAAGATTTTCTAGAATTAATTGATGACTGCTTTCTTACGCAACATATTAAGGAACCAACGATGGTAAATAATATTTTAGATTTACTGTTAACTAACAGGAAAACACAAATTAAGGACATCGAAATAGGGAGTGAGCTAGGGAACAGTGATCATAAAGAAATCAGATTTAGCATCGAATGGAATAGATCTGTAGCAGAAAATTCTGTTACAGTGCCTGATTTTCGAAAAGCTGATTTCAATAGCCTAAGAAATTTTTTGGGTCAAATAGATTGGAATGTCTTGGGGATGGGGTGTGGGCTAGACGTGAACGCAGCGACAGGTGACGAAAAAGGAGATTTCGATGTGGATTCAATATATAATCTATTTAAAAATATTCTAAGCAAAGCCCAGGAACGTAGTATACAATATAAATTGAATATATCTAGTACTAATGATTCAAAGTGGATAACAAAGGATCTGAAGAACCTTATAGGTAAAAAGAGAGCGTGGTACAAAAAGATTAAGAATGGGGAATTTAGTTTAGAACAGGATTTCGAACAACTGGTTAGAAATGTTAAACAAGACATAAGGAAAGCAAAAAGAAATTACGAAGTTTGCATAGCAGGGCAAGCGAAGACAAATCCTAAAGGGTTTTTTCAGTTATATCGAACCAAGACTAGGGAAAGGATAGGTCCATTAAAAACTGAGACAGGTCAAATAACAGATAATAACGAGGAGATGAGTAGTATTTTATGAGATGAGCAAATATTTTAAATCTGTATTTACTAAAGAGGAACTTAACAATATGCCTTCAACCGAACAAATATATGTGGGTGGGGACGAGGACAGGTTAACTAGTTTAGCAGTTACCAGCGAGGATGTAATTAAACAAATAGTAAAACTAAAACCAAACAAATCCCCAGGGCCGGATGAAGTGTTTGCCAGGGTGCTTAAAGAATGCAAAGAGGAGCTTTCCGAGCCACTGTCTACCATATTTAATAAATCAATAGAGTCAGGCAGAGTGCCAGAGTCATGGAAGGTAGCTAATGTGGTACTAATTTTTAAGAAAGGAGATAGATCACTTGCGTCAAACTATCGGCCAATTAGCCTAACGTCTTTTGTTGGAAAGTTACTTGAATCGATAATTGCAAATACAATTCGTCTTCATCTTGAAAAGCATAAATTAATAAATGAGTCGCAACATGGTTTTACAAATGGCCGTTCATGTTTAACAAATTTGCTATCTTTATATTCCAGGATAGTTGAGGCAGTTGAGAGTGGTAAGAATTGTGATGTTGTTTATCTTGACTTTAGCAAAGCTTTTGATACAGTGTAACATGAAAGACTGATTAAAAAAATTGAGGCTCATGGTATTGGGGGTGCTATATTAAGTTGAATTAGGGCATGGCTATTCCAAAGGAAACAGAGAGTTAATATAAATGGGGTTAAGTCAGAGTGGGAAAATGTTGTTAGTGGAGTGCCTCGAGGCTCTATCCTGGGACCTCTGTTGTTTATAATATATTAAAATGATTTAGATTCAGGTTTGAGTAGCAACATCTGCAGATTTCCAGATGTTGCTACTCGTTGTTGCAGATGTCTAAAATATTATTTCCCCGCGTTGGTTCCTTAATGTGTTGCGTAAGAAAGCAATCGTCAATTAATTCTAGAAAATCTTCTGCTTCATTATTTCCTGTTTTGTTCAACCAGTTTAATCCACTAAAATTAAAGTCACCCATGACATAAATACTGTTTGATCTAGATGCTCTAGATATTTCATCCCATAGATGCTTTTCTTCCATTTTGTCTAAATTTGGTGGCCTATATATAACTCCTATTATAATGTTGTTTGCTTTTTCGTTTAATTCTATCCAAATAGTTTCTGTATGTGGCTCAGTTTTGATTCCCTCTTTGAGACTACATTTCAAATTGTCCCTAACATATATGGCTACTCCCCCTCCTCGTCTAATATTTCTATCTGTGTGAAATAGTTTAAATCCATTTATTTGATATTCAGCTAATAGCTCTCTATTTTCTACATTCATCCACGTTTCGGTAAGTGCAATAATATCTATTTTTTCTGTGCAGACAAGAACATTTAAATAGTTTATTTTTTTTCTTAGATTTCTATTGTTAGTGTGATATACCCTAAGTGAATTGTTATTTTGAGGCTCTTCTCTTTTCCTGATCATTTTGCCAATTCTTTTCTCCCACAAACACATACTTTTATTACTTCCTTCCTCCAAATCAATTCCCATATCACTATCTACTAACAGTTTAAACTCAAACAAACGCCTCTAACCACTGGTTCCAACGAGTTCGCAACAGCAACAACCCCAGCCCTCGATAGATGCACCCCATCGCGAGCATACATTTTATTTCTTCCATAGAAGTGTTCCCAGTTGTCTATGAAAGATATTGCATTTGATTTGTAATATCTTTCCAGCTGGCAATTGACACCAATTCAATTCCTCGACATCCATTCATTTCCCACTCCGTTTCTTGGAAGAATGCCACATATGATCGGGATTCCTCCCCTGCTCCTAACTATCTCTATGGCTGTTTTATACCTCTGAAACAGTTCCTCACTCCTAACTCGACCACCATCATTTCCTCCCACGCTAATGGAAATAACGGGATTGTTCCCATTTCCAGCTATAATATCATTCATGTTGTTTATAATATCACCAATACCAGCTCCGGGATAGCAAACCCTTAACCTGTTCCCCCTATCTCTAGCACAAAACGTTCTATCCAAATACGTTATCTGGGAATCTCCCACAACTAAAGTTCGCTTAGGTACTTCCTTTACTCTCTAAGAGGCCTGCACTTCATTGCTTTCCATTTCGCGTGATCCGCAGTCTCACCACAGCACTCGTTCTCCAATACGGCAAATGAATTAGAAGTTCTTAGGGCGTCTGTAGGCGGCTTTATCAAAGTCTTCTTAAGGCCTTTGTCCTTTACAACTATCCAAGACGAGGTCTTTTTACTACTGGTCTCCTCCTTCGTATCTTCTCGATTATGGACTTATGTTCTTTTGTGTGTGTGTGTGTGAGGAAAAACAAGAACAACGTACCTAAATATGAGACAGTAGTTATCAGAGGCATATTTTCGGAGCTGAGGGATGGCGAGAGGTTTCCAGGCAGAGGAGAGAGTCTCAGTGGGGCGGTAGAAGCCTCTCTCAGGGTTAAACACCAACTTGTTGCTCCCTGAGAACACACAAACATTGTACACAATTAATGCACTCCTTTAAAACTATTTAACATAATATACAAGCAATTAGAAATATAATTTGATACAGATTAAAACATTTTACAGTATAAGTTTTGATTAATAGAGTTCTTTCACACCATGAAACTCTCCTCCTTCAGTTACCTCTAACGTGAATATCACCCAGACAAGAGTTCCCGGGGCGCACGCACGCGAGCACGCACGCTCACCTGATCCCCAACTTGACTACCAGGACGACAACTACTGTTACTACCAGGACGACAACTACTGTTACTACCAGGACGCCAACTACTGTTACTACCAGGACCCCAACTACTGTTACTACCAGGACGACAACTACTGTTACTACCAGGACCCCAACTACTGTTACTACCAGGACGACAACTACTGTTACTACCAGGACCCCAACTACTGTTACTACCAGGACGACAACTACTGTTACTACCAGGACCCCAACTACTGTTACTACCAGGACGACAACTGCTGTTACTACCAGGACCCCAACTACTGTTACTACCAGGACGACAACTACTGTTACTACCAGGACCCCAACTACTGTTACTACCAGGACGACAACTACTGTTACTACCAGGACCCCAACTACTGTTACTACCAGGACCCCAACTACTGTTACTACCAGGACGCCAACTACTGTTACTACCAGGACGCCAACTACTGTTACTACCAGGACGCCAACTACTGTTACTACCAGGACGCCAACTACTGTTACTACCAGGATGACAACTACTGTTACTACCAGGAAAACGGAAACAAGCAACACTTAGTGGGCCAGCCAGAGGCTTAGGGCCCGCGCAGGAATATCCCTGCCAACAAAAACGAAGAAAAATAAAATGGATTGAAAGAATTGTTATGTTTACGTGTTGATGTGTTGATTTGTGTTGCCGTGTTGGTATGTGTGGACTTGTTGATATGTGGACGTGTTGATGTGTGAGGACGTGTTGATGTGTGTGGACTTGTTGATATGTGGACGTGTTGATGTGTGTGGACTTGTTGATATGTGGACGTGTTGATGTGTGTGGACTTGTTCATATGTGGACGTGTTGATGTGTGTGGACGTGTTGATGTGTGTTGCCGTGTTAATGTGTGTGGACTTGTTGATGTGTGTGGACTTGTAGATGTGTGGACGTGTTGATTTTTTATTCCTTTGCAGGGATATTCCTGCGCGGGCCCTAAGCCTCTGGCTGGCCCACTAACTGTTGCTTGTTTCTGTTTTACTTGTAGGCGGAGTATGAGTATTTATGACTCGTATGGTCACTTCTGTAAGATTTTGTCCCATGTGTTTAACAACTTCTGCTCTGTTGAATCTAAGTTGAAATCTTAATGGGTTTGCAACTCTGCACTGTGTTAGATAATGTTCCAGTGGTCTGTCGGGCATTTCTCCACTGTGCTGACATTTCCTCTCATCTTCTGGAACCTATAAGCATATTTCCCATGCGCATGGGTATCCTAGCTTGATGCGATGTAAGTGTACTTCTATTGTTCTACTGCTCCCTTTCAACAACATAAGTGGTTCGCAGTCGGTTGAATTCTTGTACCAACACGCAGATCCTAATGTTGCAACTGCTGTTTTGTGGTCACTGTACATCTTTTGCATCGCTCTGTTTCTAATTACTTTCTTAATCTGTGATAGACTCTGTGGTATGTAGTAGTAGTAGTAGGCATCCATTGTCTCAGGAGTGTTGCGCTCTGGTTGTTGGTCTGGAGTGGCCTCCCCAGGGCGCAAAGCCAGGGTAGGTTAATATGGAGGAGAAGGTGTTACCCAAGTAGCAGGTTCCGCCTCTCCACGGCGTCTCCAATGGAAAGGCAAACGCCGATACGATTGGTTCCAACACCGTCGCAGGAACTGTGAGTTCTGGGGATGACCTCGAAGGTGGTGAAAGAATGTGCTGGGACTCCAAACCCGGAGACCGCCGTGGTCGGGGCCGGAGAAGAACCACCCCAGCAAGGGCAAGAACGACCCCAGCCTCCTGAAGCAGAGCCTGAGGGTCGCACGAGCCCCGGGAGGTGGACGTCCCGGTCCCGCACCTACGGGTTCCTGACAGAGATCATCACAGCCCTCGTTCACCCGAGGCCGGCTTCCTTCACGACCAAGTAGAAGGAAGAATGATAATTATTAATTATTTATATTATTATTATAATAATAATTGTTGCATTTAATAAATATCACTCTTCTGTTGGGTCATGAAGGAAACCGGCCTCGGGTGAAAGAGGGCTGTGATGATCTCTGTCAGGAACCCGTAGGTGCGGGTGTTATGGACCCGAGCCCAGCGTCGTAGCACGGAGCAGTGACGTCCACGCCATCTGTGAGTCAGCTCCCGAAACCCCCTCCAAATGGACGACGCCATCTAGTGAGGACGAGATATACCGGCCACAGGGGCTGGTTTCCCGTCTTATCCAGCTCGTAACATAGCCGCTGCTGACCTCTGGTGAGGTGACGCTTAGACAGCAACGCCATCTATGAAATGGATAGGTGGGCGTTTGTGTCTAAGCCTATAAGTGAAGTGCCCTAGAGAGTACCCAGTACTAATGACGTGTCTGATTACAGAGTTGACCTGGGACTGCTGAATCGGATGGTGGGGCAGTCTACCCAAGGCAGCCATAGTATCTCCACGTATTTGCTGCAGAAGCTGTGAGTCACCCCCCAGATGAACACTGTTGTGTTAGCCTGCCTGTGAGGTGGCAGAACCAGGAATTATCGTACCCAGGGCTGACTGGTGGAGAAGACTAGCCACTGGGGTGTTAAGAGAGGAGAATGATCAGCGGAATCACACGAGGCTCCTGTCTAGGGCTCGCAACCCTAGTATCGGTCGTGGAGTGGCCTACGCAGCAGAGCTGATTGGAACCTGCCAGCTACAGGCTGGATTTGTGGTTGAAGGCCTCCACGACGGTGCACCCAGTGGGACTGTGATTTGGCTGGCCTGTGGCCAGGGTAGACTCGCCTAGGGAATCAAAGGATTCATCGTGAGGTCACAAGAAGAGAACCAGGGCTACTCGTCTTGAGCACCGTGAAACGTCCTGCGTCTTCGGAGGAAGACAAGTGATTGTACATAAGTGTAGTCATAGTAACCGCGTGTGACTGTTTATATATATATTTATGGTGGTGGTGTGAATATATATTTAAATAGAGTGCAATTGTATCCCTTCCCCTTTAATTTATTTGCGTTGCGGAACACAGCCCTTGAAAGCCACTACTAACTTGGGGCCGGATACCCAAACTCTAATAACATCAGAGAAGAACCCCAGTTGCGACCCAATAGGGCCGTAACAGCGGGACCGGGACGTCCACTTCCTGGGGCTCGTGCAGCCCCCAGGCTCTGCTTCAGGAGGCTGGGGTCGTTCTTGCCCTGTTGATTTGGTATGTAAATGTCTACATTTCTTCTCTTAGTTGCAAGTTTTGCAGCTTCGTCTGCAATGTGACGTGTTGATGTGTGGACGCGTTGATGTGTACTCACCTATTTGTGCTTGCGGTGGTTGAGCTTTGGCTCTTTGAGCTTTGGCGCCTCTCAACCGTCAAACAACAGGTGTACAGATTCTTAAGCCTACTGGGCTCTGTCATATCTACATTTAAAACTGCGTATGGAGTTAACCTCCACCACATCACTGCCTAATGCATTCCACCTGTTAACTACTCTGACACTGAAAAAGTTATTTCTAACATCCATGTGGCTCATTTGAGTACTCAGTTTCCACCTGTGACCCCTTGTTCGCGTACCCTCAGTGTTGAATAGTTTATCCTTGCCAGCCGTCAATTCCCCTGAGGCTTTTGTAGGTAGTGATCATGTCTCCCCTTACTCTTCTGTCTTCCAGTGTCGTAAGGTACATATCCCACAGCCTTTCCTCGTAACTCATGCCTCTTAGTTCTGGGACTAGTTTAGTTTTTTTTCTACCACAGACGTGGCCACGCATTTACAATGCTAACCAGCATATATACATTTTCTTCTGTCCTCCATAGACAGGGTTAGAGATGCGTTAAACATATAGTTCAAGGGTTTATTGAACACTCAACCACTGAAGGTGATTCGGTGCTTTTAACATGCTAAGCTAACCTACATACGTAAATACATAGATACACAGATTTATGTATGCCTTACATAAAGTGTTCGATGTGTGTTTTACACAGTGTCATTAATGTACATTTACAAAGGTGAAATGTAATTCTGATCAGCTTCCATGTATACTTTGTACCCATACATATACATACACACACACATATACATACATATATACACACACATGCATTCACATACATTTGTCTGGTGAGATAGGGTGATAAAGAAACTAGTGTGCAATTAAGCACTTAATCACTGAAGGTGATTAAGGTGCTTTTACAAGCTCAGGTTATATAGTTACATCATATACATACATTGTATAATTAATCTATTACATGGTCAATCTTGGATACAAGTCCAATATATCAAGTGTTCCAGTATTCATATAGTAATTACAGAGTTCAGCATACCTTAGCCCAGGAAGGCGAAAGTCAGTCAGTATGGGACATTCTACAATATAATGTTCAAGAGAGTGCATGTTTTCTCTTTCACAAAGTTGACACATTGTGTACTCGACATTTGGGTTTTTAGAAAGCTGCCAGATACGTCTATATCCCAGGCGTATTCTGGCCACTATAACATCACATTGCCGGGTTCTTGTTCTATTAGTCCCATATGTAAATGTCTCCTCACGATATTTATCATAATATTTAATGCTACAACTTTCAGGTCTTTGTGAATTTATTAGGTCGGTGAGATCTTCATTAGATGTTTGTTTAAGTATTCTGTTTGTCACTTCTAATGAAATACCCATATCAATTTCTACCACTGGTTTTCTACAGGCTGTCTTTGCAAGCATATTAACAGTGTCATGCCTTGAGATGCCAACATGTGATGGTATCCATAGGAATTTAATTTCAAATCTGTTTTCTTTGGCAGCTAAAACATTCATTCGAATATCACTGACTATTTTCTGGGTGTCACTACGATGTGCGTTCAATGCCAGGAGTGCACTCTGCGAGTCACAGTATATAAGTCCACTGCCTTTGTCTTTTAAAAATTCAGTGGCAAAGTATATGCCTGCAAGTTCGGTTTGAGTTGTACTTGCCCAGTCATTGACGCGCTTCATTGCTGTATGTACGAGAGAAAATTGTTCAAATATATTACATGCACATCCTGTACATCGTCCACCTTCTTCTACAGAGCCGTCGGTATTGCACTGATACACATCGTTACCCATACTCTGAGTACTTTCAGTGATGCCTTTCAGTGTTAACTGTTTTAATAATGTAGAGTGCACACTATGTTTCTTGGGCGCATTTACAAAATCAATCCTGAAGGCTGTTCTGATGTTAGCCAGCCTCACATATGCCGCAGGCGTAATTCTTTTTATTTGGGCGTCAGGAGGCAGGTTTGGTGTGATATCAACTCCTATATCTTTCTCTCTGTCCGTTTCATGAAGTACTTCATCTCCTATTCTGTATCCTGTGTCTGGCCTCCTGTTTCCACCGCCAAGTTTCATTACTTTGCATTTACTCGGGTTGAACTTTAAGCAGCCATTTGTTGGACCATTCATTCAGTTTGTCTAGTTTATCTTGTAGCCTCCTACTACCATCCTCTATTTCAATCCTCCTCATAATTTTTGCATCGTCAGCAAACATTGAGAGGAACGAGTCTATACCCTCTGGGAGATCATTTACATGTATCAGAAACAGTATAGGGCCAAGGACTGACCACTACGGGACTCCACTTGTTATGTCTCGCCAATCTGAGAACTCACCCCTCACAGTGACTCTTTGTATTCTGTTGCTTAGCTACTCCCTTATCCAATGGAGTACCTTCCTTTTCACTCCAGCCTGCATCTCCAGCTTTTTCACTAGCCTCTTGTGTGGTACTGTGTCAGCCTCTTGTCTGAAACTGTTGTGTGTGTGTGGACGTGTTGATGTGTGTGGACGTGTTGATGTGTGTGGACGTGTTGATGTGTGTGGACGTGTTGATGTGTGGAGACGTGTTGATGTGTGTGGACGTGTTGATGTGTTTACTAGTTGTGTTTTTTTTTTTTACGGGGGTTGAGCTTTGCTCTTTCGGCCCGCCTCTCGACTGTCAATCAACTGTTTACTAACTACTATTTTTTTTTTCTACACCACACACACACACCCCAGGAAGCAGCCCGTGACAGCTGACTAACTCCCAGGTACCTATTTACTGCTAGGTAACAGGGGCACTTAGGGTGAAAGAAACTTTGCCCATTTGTTTCTGCCTCGTGCGGGAATCGAACCCGCGCCACAGAATTACGAGTCCTGCGCGCTATCCACCAGGCTACGAGGCCCCTAGTCCCTGTGTGTGGACGTGTTGATGTACAGACGTGTTGATGTGTGTGGACGTGTTGATGTGTGTGGACGTGTTGATGTGTGTGGACGTGTTGATGTGTGTGGACGTGTTGATGTGTGTGGACGTGTTCATGTGTGTGGACGTGTTCATGTGTGTGGACGTGTTGATGTGTGTGGACGTGTTGATGTGTGTAGACGTGTTGATGTGTGTGGACGTGTTGATGTGTGTGGACGTGTTGATGTGTGTGGACGTGTTGATGTACAGACGTGTTGATGGGTGTGGACGTGATGATATAGGGACGTGTTGATGTGGGGACGTGTTGATGTGTGTGGACGTGTTGATGTGTGTGGACGTGTTCATGTGTGTGGACGTGTTGATGTGTGTGGACGTGATGATATAGGGACGTGTTGATGTGGGGACGTGTTGGTGTGTTGATATGTGTGGACGTGGTGATGTGTAGACGTGTTATTGAGTTTAAAAGTGTGAAGGAGGTGTTTGTGAACTTAAGTGTGGAAATATATCTTAAATGGAATATCTTCTGAAAATTATATTCATTTCAAATATGGCTTCCAAGACTTGACTGGGAGGGGCTTGTGTTAGTCGGGAGAGGGGCTAGAGTTGGTCGGGAAAGGGGCAGGAGTTGGTCGGGGGAGGGTCTAAATTTGGTCGGGGATGGGGGTTACTGTTGGTCGGGGGAGGGGCTAGAGATGGACGGGAGAAGGGCAAGTATTGGACAGGGGAGGGGCTAGAGTTGGTCAGGGGAGGGGCTAGAGTTGGTCGGGGGAGGGGCTAGATTTGGTCTGGGGATTAGTTACTGTTGGTCGGGGGATTAGTTACTGTTGGTCGGGGAGGGACTAGAGTTGGTCGGGAAAAGGCTAGATTTGGTCGGGGGAGGGGCTAGTGTAGGTTGGGGGGGCTAGTGTTGGTCGGGGGAGGGGGTAGTGTTGGTCGGGGGAGGGGTCTAGTGTTGGTCGGGGCAGGGGCTAGAGTTGGTCGGGGGAGGGGCTAGAGTTGGTCGGGGGAGTGGCTAGTGTTGGTCATGGGAGGGGGTAGTGTTGGTCGGGGGAGGGGCTAGTGTTGATCTGGGGTGGGGTTTGTGTTAGTCGGAGAAGGGGCAGGTTTTCGTTGGGGGAAGGGGCAAGTGTTTGTCGGGGGATGTGCACGTGTTGGTCTGGTGACGGGAAAGTGTTGGTCGGGGGAGGGACAAATATTGGTTGGGGAAGGGGCTAGTGTTAGTCTGGGGAGGTGCTGGTGTTGGTCGGGGGGATGGGCAAGTGTTGGACTGGGGATGAGCATGTGTTAATCGGGGTAGGAGTTAGTGTTAGTCGGTGGAGGGGCAAGTGTTGGTCGGTGGAGGGGCAAGTATTGGTCGGTGGAGGGGCAAGTGTTGGTCGGTGGAGGGGCAAGTGTTGGTCGGTGGAGGGGCAAGTGTAGGTCGGTGGAGGGGCAAGTGTTGGTCGGTGGAGGGGCAAGTGTTGGTCGGTGGAGGGGCAAGTGTTGGTCGGTGGAGGGGCAAGTGTTGGTCGGTGGAGGGGCAAGTGTTGGTCGGTGGAGGGGCAAGTGTTGGTTGGTGGAGGGGCAAGTGTTGGTCGGTGGAGGGGTAAGTGTTGGTCGGTGGAGGGGCAAGTGTTGGTCGGTGGAGGGGCAAGTGTTGGTCGGTGGAGGGGCAAGTGTTGGTTGGTGGAGGGGCAAGTGTTGGTCGGTGGAGGGGCAAGTGTTGGTCGGTAGAGGGGCAAGTGTTGGTCGGTGGAGGGGCAAGTGTTGGTTGGTGGTGGAGGGGCAAGTGTTGGTTGGGGGAGGGGCAAGTGTTGGTCGGTGGAGGGGCAAGTGTTGGTTGGTGGAGGGGCAAGTGTTGGTTGGTGGAGGGGCAAGTGTTGATCGGTGGAGGGGCAAGTGTTGGTTGGTGGAGGGGCAAGTGTTGGTTGGTGGAGGGGCAAGTGTTGGTCGGTGGAGGGGCAAGTGTTGGTTGGTGGAGGGGCAAGTGTTGGTCGGTGGAGGGGCAAGTGTTGGTCGGTGGAGGGGCAAGTGTTGGTTGGTGGAGGGGCAAGTGTTGGTCGGTGGAGGGGCAAGTGTTGGTCGAGGGTGTTGGAAATTTCCAACATCCAAATGCTAACCCCTAGTGCAATATTATAAATTTATTGCACCCAGGAATATAATTTACAATACAACTAACCAAGAGTGTAGCAATATTAACTTTATTATATTGAGGAGTAGTAATGCCAGCTTTCTCCTAGAATTCATGCCTAAGATTGCATCTGTTAACCAGCCCGGAGAATAAACTCCACATATTTACCAATCGAATTTAATCCAGCCTAAACTTGTACAATTTATTAAAGAATATAAATCATGAATAGATTTATTTCTAGTAGCACATTATATAGCTGATTACTGGAAATAGTTTTATACAGCTGTGATCAGCTGACTGGTAAACAAAACGATGAACTGAATTTCCACTACGAATATATCTCGTCTATCTAACGTCATTTAGGTTAAATGATTTGCACAGTGAGAAAGAATCTGCTGTTATATAGAGCACGTTATTATGACGTAAATTATCGTCAGCAATGTTTCCATCCATTCGAAACGTTGAATAAAATATTGCGAATTAATACCAAAGTTTCCAACATTCGGCGTTAGGTGGCCCGCGCGACACTTGTGAGTAGCAGACTTGGGAGAGACAGCCGCCATTACAGTTGGTCTTCTGAAGCTGATCTTTATCATCGATCAAATGGAGGAGCATCCATTCAATAACGAGCTTCAGATCGATTCGACAGCTCCCATATGTTAGAGACACCATGTCCGGCAAGGCAGAGTACCACTGATTTGCTAATTTGGCCATTTTTATAATCATGTTGTTGTCTTGCCATTATGCAGTTTAACAACCCCATAACTCCCGTGAGTGGTATTCTTATTCCCTATTCACTTAGATTTCATGAGTAAATATATAGATGTATTTCTTTACGTGGAAATTACAAGTGATTCATAGTTCAGCATGAAGCTACTGCAAGGGAGACGTAATTCAGCCGGTAGAGTCACGTGTCGCCAGAGATTCCCAATTCGGAAAGGATTAGACTGGTTATAAGGGCTGCTTGGCGCAATCTTCGTTCCACATTGGCAGCTAAGCCTTTAATCGTTTCCATTCAGCAGTTAGTTTATTTATCTGTGCATTAATTAATTATGATGATAAATTAATATTTTTCTCTACTATATGTAGACTAATATTATATAATTTACCCTCCAAAAGATGCGTAAGGGATTTTCTCTATTTAAATTGAAGTTTTACAGTCCACTTATCGTAATTAATTTCTTTGAATTAATTATCAAGTTTATTATTTGAGATCCATAGATCACAGTACCAACCTTCTTCATGTTCCTAATAAATTTCTGAATAATATTATATGTTAGAGTGAATTTCCCCACATCTTTTATGGTCGACTTCGAACTGGATTGATCAACATTTTAATATAAATTACTGATTTATATAATCAGTATAATTCAACTAACAAATTACTAACACTGATAATATTATACTCTTAATTAAGAATTATTGTTAGGAGCTAGGCTATACAATTAATAATGTTACGGCTGTCAGCACACTGCCATTCATATAGCCTAACTCTATTTTTTACAACTACAGTTTAATTAAACATTACCACCCCTACTACGCTAAAGCTTAATATATAAAGTGGCTTTAGTGGGCCATAGTCAGTTGCCCACAACATTGAGTCCCATACCTCACACTGAAGTGAGAATATTCAGATCTCCTTGAGCAGCAGCTCACAGTTTTATTAATAACCCTGTGTTAACATCCGTATTAGACTGGCCACACCATTTAACAATTATTAATCTAGGTGGCAACGACAGTCAGCCAACTCGGCACCCAGCTGATATCTTTTATATAAATAAAAATGTAAATGTTCGTTTTTGTTCAAAATCGCTAATCTCCGAAAGTTCTTCGCCGATTGCCTTGAAATTTTCACACAACGTTCCATTCGCATCCGAGCGGGTTTTTATATACGTCCTATATAGATGTCACGTCTGTGACTGGAAAAAGCATATTTTTTTTAAAAGCTGTGTTTTTCGGGTGTTTTTCATGTGAGGGAAATCTTTGAAACCTACCGATTGCTTTGAAATTTTGATACAACTATGCATTCGATTCGGCGAATGTTTTTATGTAGCTACTATATACATGCCTCACCTGTGACAGGAAAAAACACGTTTTTTTTTTTAAAACAGTGCCATCTGTAGGACATAAGAGCAACACATGCTGTAATCTCCAAAAGTTCTTGACCGATTGCTTTGAAATTTTGACACACAGTTCCATTCGAATACATGCATGTTTTTATATACCTACTATTTAGATGCCACACCTGTGACAGGTAAAAACATGCGTGGGATTCGCTCACTGGCCGCCAGAGGGCCAGGACGTGCTCGTTTGACCTGCCAGTTGTCGCCTGGTGCTGAGTGGAGGCGGGTGTGGATTGTGGTGTGGTGCGCCCGCTGGCCAGAAGGCCCGGCTGGTGGTATGGTGGTTGGTGGTGTGTCCCGCGTACGGCGGGTGGACACGGCGTGCCTTGACTTCTCAGGGGATGTAGACTGGGCGATTGTGGAAGTTGCTGTCGTCGATGTGCTTCAAGCGGATGTCCAGGATTTGATAGGGCTGGAAAAGCTTTCCCCTACGCGAGTGGCGATGACCTTCTGCAGGAGCTCGCTGTACAAGGAGTTTGTGGCGCGTTGGGCCGGCCACTCGGTTCCAGTCACCGACACGGCTGTGTCTGTGGCCGTTTCGGATCCCTGGGGGGCCGTACAGTACGTGAGTGTGCATGGTGTCCCGGTGACGTTCTCTGAGGATGAGCTGCGGGTTGTGTTTGGAAAGTATGGAGAGGTGCAGTTTCATCGTTTCAACCATCTGCGTACAGGTTGGCTGAGCGGGCTGCGTACGGGCATTCGTACGCTAGGTATGAAGATTACGTCACTGGTACCGTCTCGTCTTCTGTATCGTGGGCTCTCGCTCAGAGTATTTTATCAGGGACAGACTCGCACTTGTTTCCGGTGTGGTGCTGAGGGCCATGTGGCAGCGAGCTGTGATGCTCCTCGGGCTGAGGCTCCCTCCGTTTTCTTGGAGGGTGACTTCCCCCCTTTGGAGACGCGGGGGGCTTCCTCATCGCCTTCTCGCCCTGGCGAGGTGCCTGGGGTGGTTCCTGCGGCGGGTTCAGCAAGTGCTCCCTCTGTCCCTGTTTGGTCGGGACATAGTACGTCTGCTTCCCCGGTGTGCTCTGTGGGAACGGGAGCTCCTACCTCGGGGGTTCCTCGTTCGGTGGTGGCGGAGGTGCATCCGCGGCCGGAGGCTTCTGTGCGGTCCTCGGCTGCTGCTGTTGGTGTGGTGCCTGCTTCCCCTGCTGAAGATTGTCTGCTGCCCGGGGATGCTGGGGTGGTGGGGTGTGTGTCCTCCTCCCTGCCCTCTGACTCTGCGTCGACTCCCTCGTCGTCTACAAAGGTCGCCTTGTCCAGTGGTTCGTTGGCTGCGATTGCCTCGGCGTCCGTGGTGGATGCCCCCTGTGAGCTGGAGTGTGCTCTCCCACTTTCTGGGCCTGCTCCTTCTGCTCCGGTCTCCGGGCGTGGTGGTAAGCTGTGGCCCCATGCTGTGGAGGTTGCTGCTGTGTGTGTCCGTGCTGCTTCGGCTTTGGGCCCGCCCGCGTCGGGTTCTTCTGGAGCACCCCTTGCTGGGGGTCGTTGTACCGACGATCAGCAGCCTCATGTGAAGCGCCGTCGTTCGGCTCAGGATACATCGCCTCGTCGGTTGTGGGCGGAGGGCGGTGTGGCGATGGAGGTTGCGGGCGAGGACATCGAGGAGGTTTCTTCTGTGGTGCCTCCAGTGACGGCAGCTGCGCCTCCTGATGGTGGCACCTCTGGGTGGGTGGCTCATCGCGGTGACCGGGACCTGGTGGTCGTGTTGTCTAAGAGTAACTGTCGGGGGTCTTCGGCCCTTGTTCCGGTTGGTGGGGGCTCTGCGGATCCGGCAGAGGGCTCGTCCGTGGGGCTGGGTACGGCGACTGGCGGTGTTCACTGTGATCGCCCTGGGGTCCAGGATGAAGTGCGGCCTGTGTGTCGCGATGGGTTGGGGGTGTCCTGAGGTTGTCCCGATGGCGCCCTCTGTAGTTTGTGCGTCCTTGAATGTTCGGGGTTTGAATGCTCTTGGGGTCCAGTTGGGCCTGTTGGATGTTTTGCAGGAGCAACGTGTGGATGTGGCTCTCATACAGGAGCATAATGTGCATGATGTGTCTGTGTTGCAGTGTCTAAGCGTGCATTATCATGTGGTGCTCAACTCGCCGAGGACGCCTTTCGGGGGGACCCTTATGTTATTCTCTCGTAAGGCCTCCTTCTCCGTGCTTCACACGGAGTTGGACGAGGATGGGCGGGTGTTGTTTGTGCGGGTGGAGTTTTTGGGGGTCGTGATTCCGTTCTTGACGGTGTACGCCCCCTCGGGTGTAGCGCGTCGTCGGGAGAGGGAGGAGTTTTTTCGGGTGGGTCTTCTTCCTTTCTTGCGCCATGATACGCGGGGCATGATTTTTGGAGGGGACTTCAATTGTGTGACGAGTGCACGGGATTGTTGTAGCGCTCGTCCGCAGAATGTCTCGGGTGCGCTGCTGGAGGTGGTGCGTTCATGTGGTTTCCGAGACGCTGCTGTGCTCTTTGGTGGAGGGTTGTCGTTTACTTTTGCTGCACGTGGGGTGCGTTCGCGCATCGATAGGGTGTATGTCAATGGTGGGGAATGTACGGTGTATGATTTTCGCACTGTCCCGGTTGCATTCTCCGACCACAGTTTGGTGGTGGTCCGGGTTGGGGTACCCAGTCAGGTGCGGGTCGGTGCGGGGTGGTGGAAGCTAAACTGTGGGTTGTTGCGTTCTCCGCGTGTTTGTCGTCAGTTTCGGTGTTGGTGGGTCGGGATTCGAGCCCGGCGTTGTGAGTTTCTGTCTGTCTTGGAGTGGTGTAAAGTGCAGTGTCGTTTGTTTTTTCGCGTGGTTGCTAAGCGCGAGGCTGCTGGGCGCTTTGGGTTGCTGCGGTTGTTGCAGGCGCAGCTGTCGAGGTTGTATGTAAGGTACGATGCTGGTGTTGATTGTTTTGATAAGATTGTGGACTGCAAGGCGCGTATATGCGGGTTGCGGAGTGAGTGGGCGGAGGGTGTGCGTGTGAGGGCTCGTGTAAGTGAGAGGGTAGACGGGGAACGGATTTCTCCATTTCTTTTAAGTAAGGTACGGGCGCGGGGACTCTGTTCTTTTTACGGCCTTGCAACGGCCAGATGGGACGGTTGTTTCGGACACTGGTGGGGTGTTGCACTATGTTCGGCAGGAGTTGGCTGCGCTGTATGCGGAGGTGGCTGGGGACGCCGCACTTGCGGAGGATTTCTTGGGTCGGTGCCTTCCTGGGTTGTCGGTTGCGGAGTGTGCTGGTCTGGTGAAAGAGGTCTCCTTGGCGGAGCTGCTTGTGGTGGTGCGGTCGTTTCGTTCCGGGAAGGTGCCGGGTTCGGATGGTCTTCCTATTGAGTTCTATGTCGCCTTTTGAGATGTGTTGGGGGATGTTCTGCTGGAGGTGGTCCAGTCTTGTCTTCGGGAGTGTGTTCTGCCTATGTCTCAGTGCGTTGGGATTGTGCGGCTTCTCCCGAAGTCGGGCGATCTACGGTTATTCTCAAACTGGCGGCCCATTACTTTGTTGAATGTCGACTACAAGATCCTGTCTAAGGTCTTGGCTGGTCGGTGTCGCAGTGTTGTTGCGTCTGTTGTCTCTGTGGAGCAGTTTTGTGGTGTTCCGGGTCGTTCCTTGTTGCATTGCAATGCATTG